AAGACCAATTGTACCGTAAATATACGCTACTTCTTGCGAAACCACATGCTGTTATGCGGAAACAAGTGTCTTTATGCGGATTTGTACGCGCCATGCAGAAATGGAAGTATCACATTCGCCTCAGCTGGGGCTACGGTGCAATTTACATAAGGATTGTCTAGCATACTTTCGTTGTTGTTGAATTGGGTCGTAAAAAGGAGCAAGACCGTACTTTTACAGGATCAAATTCTAAAGTTCGTTCAGTTTTACTTTGTTTTCAAAGTTGACATCACAAATGACTTTGATGATCGTATGTGACCACGTCCGTTGACTCGGGATGTCGGCCAGAAACTCGAATTGAGTTTTGAGTTGCTGGCTCTTGATGAACGTCCACCGTTGCTATTCCAAGACGGTGTGAGCGGACGCTGGTGTTATGAGAAGTCCTTTGTTTTATTTTATTCTTTTTATTTTCGACTCTATCATGATGTACTACCGTACTGTAGATTACTATTGTTGTCTTTGGGTGAAATCGAAAGCACTCCATGTGGTGTCAACGTTGGACCAACAACAAGACTTGTACTCACTCTTTCGAGCAGCGTGCCTTTGGCTAGTTACATATATGTCGTAACACGGCACCATCCCGCACAGTGATGCATGATAGTGCCATAACGCGATCAGAGCTACTTTTGGGCGCAAAGCTCAGACACGCTTTTGGTTGCTGTCCGTTGTTCCCACAAAACGCCAGAATTACGCACAAGTAAGAGCCTACGCAGCGGCTACTGAGTAGTACTAATATAACGCAACCGAGTCGCGCGGCCATCTCGTATGCATCCTCGATTCGACAAAACCACCAAGAAAGCAGAGCTGCCCAGTCGCATGATCGTGAGCACCTAGAAATTTGCTTGTGCCGTCGCCGAGCTCTTTCGTGGTTCTACAAAGATGTCAAGCTTCATGGCGTCATTTACAAGATTCTCAGCCGATGACGACGAACGTACCGTGCGGAAGAAGCATGGCTCCAGTGCGCTGTACGCATCTACAAATGTCAACCTGTAGTTGCTTGAATCTGGCGCGGCGTCAACGTCAGCAAGGGAATGTACGAGCGAGCCTTTCTCCATGCAACATGACTGCACGACAACTGTACATATATATGTACATTGCAGGACTATATAAGATCGCATGGTATATGTGCGGCAGCCAAGCCTTGTAGTTGTCTCGTGCAAGCGCCTAGTTGCTCGGATTATGCTACGTATGTACTATAGGTGATTGTGTGCTAGGCTGCTCGTGTCGTGTCAGTGCTGGCATTAAATGCTAAATATTGGCTATATACCGATGTTGAGATTTTCCGGCGTTTTTGCTTCCACACTATACCAGCGTCGATTGCACAGAGGTGTCTCCACATTTTTGTCATATTTGTGTACTACAAAAGAGTTTGTGGTATTACAAAGGTTATTTCGCTTAGGGGCCCTTGGTACTAGATCCTTTGCGAGGGATCGATCCCTCGACCATTTTCCCGCGGCAAATATAATGCTTTAACCACTGGGTCATATCACCGCTCCCGCTTTTGTAGGGTTTGGGTTGTACCGGTAGTTGTCGCCGTCGAAATCGTCTTGATGTTTGTATGCTCCATTTACCACGTCGTGTGCACTTTCCGCGTTTGTGTAAAACGTTTATCCACGAGAAACACACTCAAACACGCTGTACAAAATGTACACGATTTCTTTTCTTGCAGCTCTACACAACATACGTGTGTAAATCGGTGAAAAAAGGAGCCAAGCCAGCGTGCTAAAAATCTTCGAGTTGTAGGTAGGCTTCGCAAGGGAGGAGTGCTAGGCCCTCGGAAACCAGTCCAAAAGTCAGTGGCAAGCCAACTGGACTCTCGGAATTTGTAAAAATGAATGTGAAAAAAAACCACACCGAAGTGTGGAAATCAGTTTTCACACTGATTAGAACAGATACTACACTTGATCTTAGCCAAAAGGCCGAGAAGGTATGATCTCTAATTGGACAACCGTCATGCTGGATACCTGGGTCCGTCGCGTGCTTTTGGTGCCGCTTGAGAGAATGCTTTGTCGCTAAACGCTTCTAGATTTCAACTGCCACCTTGCGCCTCGATCCAAGAGCCTGCGACGAGAACGTAATCATGGTTGTCAAGTCCTCTCTACGTCTGCATGGGGCTGCTCCAAGGCACTTTGTGCCACTCTTGGAGTATTTGACGACTACCCATTATTTGGTGGGGCTACAACTATTTATGCAGTGCAACTTCGAATGAGTCTCGCAGAACGCTACATGGCACGTTCGACGGTTTCATGACGTGGCGCTCGCCAGTGCAAGAAATGGTACCTCAAGATAGATAGATAGATAGATAGATAGATAGATAGATAGATAGATAGATAGATAGATAGATAGATAGATGATAGATAGATATTATATTATCCACTCCTTGTGGAAAGTCCGAACGCGCTGGAACAACAAAATGACAAAATGCAACAAACGTCAAGTTGATACGAGTCGATTGTAGCGGGTATCCTACCACAGTATTGTGACTAGGCACGGACGCGGGCTTCCCAGCACGTGGCGTAGACGTCCTTGACCGTGTTGAAGTTCCACTGCCACTGGAACGAGTACACGCCGGGTGCAATGTCATTTTCGAGGTTGAAGCAGAGACTGCAGAGCGCGCGGCCTTGGTCGCGAATCCCGCCCTTGTCGTCGCAAAACTTGGGGCAGTGCTGGAACCCCTTGTAGTCGATGACGCCTTCTTGGTGCACGCCGTTGAGGTGCTGGTACTCGATCGGCCACTCGTGGAGCGCGGGGTCGGACGCATTGGCGGACGTGGTGCGGAAAATGCGGACGCCCGTGTCTGGAATGTACGCGTTCGTGCACGGAGCCGCAACGTGGTTCTTGGCCGGGTACGCGACGCACACCGTTTTGCCCCGGCACGTAAGTGGCCATCGGCGCCGTGTCCGTGTAGGCGCCGGCGGATTCCTTTGCGCACTGGCACGACTTGTGCTGCAGCAGTGGTCGAAAGTCCAAGCCCGTGTCGACGCCAAATCCTTGCGCCTTCTGGCGGCTCCCGCAGCGCGCGTAGCCATTGCAGGCCGACGGGTTCCAAAACTCTTGGTTGGCGGTCGTCGATGCGTCATAGTCGGTGCATTCTACGCATTGCAACACACGTTGTTGGAAAATAGTGTGTCAATAGGAAGCGATGCATACCGAGCCACGAGTGGGCGGTCGCTGTCGCAGCGAGGAGGCTCAAAATGGAGGTGGATGTCAACATGCTTGTGAGTCGTAGATGCAAAGGCAGAGTGAGTGCGATCGACGGCTCGGACGCTGGCATCGGAACCGCCGCATCGTGCGACGATGGACGGTTTCAAACGAGTGATATGAACGACCCCGTGGCAGCCACGAGTGTGACACTGGCCCGTCGGTGGCGTGCGGACCCGGCTTCAAATCCGATCGACCGACGCCACCGACTTCTTGACGCGGGCACCCATAAATGGTCGCACGGCCCCCGGGCGCCGACAGAGAATGCGCTCGCCTACGATCCGCAATACTGCAACGCGTTCATTCAAGATGCGGTTGCCACCGTGTATCACTCGGCGCGCTGGACGCCGGGCGCTAAAAAGACCAAGAAGACGACGCGGTCGCCACCGAAAGCGTCCGTGGGCAACCACCGTCCTACGTCGGCCACTAGCGTTCGAAGGACTCTGGTGGACAAGCCGATCGACCACCCGATGGATGTTGCCAGAACGGTGTACCGTGCACCCATGTTTAAGGCGTCTCATTTTCAGGCGCTCGAAGCCGAGACGTATTCGCTGCTCGACGCTACCGACGTTCCATACAAGCATCGACTACCGCGCGGACCAGGAATCAGCACCTCCCGCCTCCATAGGCTCGCGAGCATGTATCCAAGCCGGTCGAGCGTTTGAGGTCAAAAAGCAGCGAGCACTGTGGTCCACCACTGTTCTGCAAGGGCGAACCACGGTGGTATTGATTCCTGTTTGGAGAGCGCCAGACGTAGCAGCGTGTGGGAAGCTTACCTGCATCGCGGTGGAGAAGCGGCAACGGAGCACACGCACGTCGATGGCTGCACGTGTTGGCCAAGAGTGTTACATGACGTGTGCACAGCTAACATAGCTGTTCCTATCGACGTGGATCGTCTAAAAAAATAGAAAAACTCGGAGGAAAAAGGCGAGTCTACGAGGAACGAACATCGCGGTTGGGCAGACGTGCAAAATTGCACGGAAGTCATCACTGCTATTTTGCAACAGAGCCTTGGCGCCACACTGAGCTCGGAAGTATCCGAGGGACCAGCACTACCGAATCGCATATTCGGAGCAGGCTGTAGCCGGGAGCAATATGCACTAGTTATTTATTAATAGCGTCTTTGCAAGGACATCGATGGTCGTAGTAAATGTTATTGCCCTTAACAACGCACAAACGCGCGTCGTAGGGCTCAACTGCATGCAGAAATGGATTGCATTGAACCTTGGTAATTGGACAAGACGAAGCGCGCAACGTGTTGACATAGTGTAAAGATAGTGTAGTTGGGAAATGCTGGGTGAAATGAAGATAGGAATGCAAATAAAAAGAATAAAATAAAACAAAGGACTTCTCATAACACCAGCGTCCGCTCACACCGTCTTGGAATAGCAACGGTGGACGTTCATCAAGAGCCAGCAACTCAAAACTCAATTCGAGTTTCTGGCCGACATCCCGAGTCAACGGACGTGGTCACATACGATCATCAAAGTCATTTGTGATGTCAACTTTGAAAACAAAGTAAAACTGAACGAACTTTAGAATTTGATCCTGTAAAAGTACGGTCTTGCTCCTTTTTACCGTAAATCTTACATTGCTACGAAAGTATGCTAGACAATCCTTATGT